CTTCTGAGATGTGTTTTCTTCTTAGAAGACTTCAATCTATTTCATTCTCCCATTTATTGTTGGCCATTGCCCTACTACATGACATTTCCATGGAATGAAAGAATCTACTTTCTGTCTCTGAGATATTATTTTTCTATGTTCCATTCCTTCTTATCACCTGGAGCCCAGTGTGAGAACTATAGAACATGGCTCAGGTCACTGCTGTCATTCCTTTATATTCTCACAGACTGAGTCCAAACTGCACAAGCACCTTGATTGCTGTCATCCTGCAGACTGGAAAAGCACATAGGAGCTTAGCAAGGCCAATCATGAGACCTGATGCTCTTTTCATGCTAACAATATGTCAGTGACTCTACATGGATTGTTTCATTTCGYCTTCGTACAAACTCTATCTTGTAGACTTTTATTATCCTCTTTTCCACTTGRGAAAATTGATGACCAGAAAAGTTAATTTGTCAAGGCCACACAGTCATGAACAGATACAGCCAGGATTCCAATCAAGCTCTGTCTTCGGATCCTATTTTCTTTACTGCTGTGTTTTATTGCTTGACCCTTCCAAGAATAATAAAGAGTTTACTGACCAGGCCCTCTTCCAGGGAAGCCAAAACAAATAGAGATCAGAAATCATGTCTTACTATCTATCTGGGTACTCTCAATGCCTAGGACACCACCTGACATTTGATAAAAATTTAGAATGTTTGTTCAACTGATCAACCATTTATGGATCACCTCCTAAGGAATTCAATGAATCATATAACTTGTAGAGTCCTTCTTCTACTTACTAGCAAGACAATTAGAGTTGCAGTCAGAGATCTTTTAGAATTCTGGTCCTGCCTTTTGGTAGCTATATGACCTTGGACAGATGTCTTTATTTTTATTTATTTTTTTGGTACCAGGGGCACTCAACCACTGATCCACATCCCCAGCCCAATTTTGTATTTTATTCAGAGACAGGGTCTCACTGAGTTGCTTAGCACCTCACTTTTGCTGAGGCTGGCTTTGAACTCATGATCCTCCTGTCTCAGCCTCCCAAGCCACTGGGATTACAGGTGTGCATCACCATGCCCGGCAAGATGTCTTTTTTTTTTTTTTAGTTGTAGATGGACAAAATACCTTTATTTTTATTTATTTATTTTTTAAATTTTTATTGTTGGTTGTTCAAAACATTACATAGTTCTTGATATATCATAT